AGATTGTTAGTAGACTGATGGACACTAAGCGCTGTGTCTGGTGGTCCTCCTCTTGCTTTGACAATGTTTGGAAAGAACAGACCCAGGGAGTGAGTCTCTTCCGGCCTCTGACACTGTCCGATCTTTTCTCCACTTGCGACATCAGGGGCCACCTTCTCAGCCATATCCTGCTTCTGAGATCAGTCAACACCATTTTTTCAGTTAGCTACTTATTTCTGACAAACCATAAGCTCCCACATTCATCAGAATTATTGGGCCAAGACGGAGGCAGCCTTCAGTCTCCTGGTGGCTTTGCATCTGGGCTCCGACTCCGCCCGCCCTCCTCCCGGGCTTCTGTTCTGACCATGATGAGGTGGCTCTGGAAGGTGCGAGCCACTTCTTCTACCAAGTGGCTGAAGAGAAACGTGAGGCACCAAAGGTCTCCTGAAGGTTCAAAACCAGCATGGCAGCCAAGCCCTCCTCCAGCTCGGATGCCGGGGAAGCTGCCATGGCCCTGGGTAGAACCTCAGCCAGGCCACTTTGTGTCTTCATGGCTTAGGTTCTGCCCACCTCTGTGCCATCCTGTACAGACATGTCCCAGGTGAGGAAGTGAAACTCATCAAGAAGACAGCCAATCTTCCCACCAACCTGCAGGCTGCCTGCTTCCCAGGCCATCCTGGGCAAGTCTCTTTAAAAGGCTCAGTCTCAAACATAACCAGGAGTCTGAAGAGCACAGGCACCTCTGAGGGGCCTCCTCAGAGTATCAGGGCTTCTGACTGAGGCTGTCCCTCCAGCCGCCATGCAGCTTTTAGCCACTCTGTGTCCCGTTCCTCGGCCTTAGATCAAATGGAAATAAAGCTTTTAGCAGAAAAAAGAGAGAGAGAGAAAGAGATATCAAAGAAAATAGAAGGGCAAGGGGGATAAAAAGAAAAAAAAAATGAAGGAAGGATAGGAAGGAAAGAAATCAAAATCACTGGTGGTGAGTTTGCAGAAGATCGTGAGGAGCAAAGAGGCTGTATGGTCTAGGGGACACGTATATCATCGTGAACAGAATGTCACTAGAAACACGAATCCTAAAGGTGCTGCCAGTGAGGACTCAAGGAAAATAAGGAGGGTGCCTTGGAAATTTGAGGGAAGTGGATCTTTCACATCTAGTGGCAGAAAATTTACCTGAATTGTGTTTTACACTAGTATAGAAAGCAGAATTTGTAAGCCATGATCTTGGATATTTGGCTTGGAATATTTCTAAGGAAAGTATTGCAGGTGTGGCCTTGTTTATTCTTACTGCACATAGTACAATATACCAGCTGTAAAAAAAATCTCAGCCTACCCAGGTTTCAAAAATTGCTAAAATTAGAAGATTCGACTATGAGGAGTTTCTTAGTGCTGAGGAGACTGGGTACGTGAGCCACAGGTCCCCTCAACCAGCAGCATTCTCCAAGGAAAAGTCAGGATTATACAGGAAAGGTCTCTGACCTTCTTGCCTAGTGGAATAAATCCCAGCGACATACATAGAAGACTTACAAGATTTTTGAGAATGTTATACCACTGGAAACACTGCCAGCTTGGTCTAGAAGGGACAAGTTTGTGTCACTTTATGACAATAGCCATAGGAAACTGGTACAAAAAGCCAGCATGTCTGAATACCTACTGTGTGTCAACTCTCTGCCTGGACTATCTCATTTAACCCAACATTAAGTCTGAGATATAGAAACTACTGATATGTCTACTTTACAGATTTTATTTCCATTTATTTAACAAACATATCACACTTTGTATTTTCTAAGCACTTTACAAATATTAATTTATTTAGTATTGTTTTTATCCCCATTTTATAGTTCACTCCCTTTACTTAGAAGCCATGTGGCTTCCAAATCATTTTATTTTTTTCTAATCGGATAGGAATTTTGTTTGTCCCTTGATGCCCTTGAGGTGAATTTAATTCTGTGGTGCTCCTTCTACTTTAGGTTTATATACAGAGTTCTTCAGGGGTCCCTGTTTCCGTCTCCCATCCTGAGAGCTAAGCACTTAGACAGACTAACTCCAGAGGAGAGGACTGAAGCTCTCAAGAAGTGGAGAGGGGCTGGAAAGATGGATCCCGTGACCTCAACGTCTGCTGAGCAGTCAGCTGGCAAGTCAGGAGGAAGACCCATGCCCGGAACTCTTGCTGACTTTGCAATGAACCCTGCGTCATCTTGTGCTTTTGAGCAAGGGAACATATCTGTATGTGAAACTGCTTTAGACCAAGGCTGCTGTGAAACTGAGGCCTCAAGAGATTAAGAAAGTGGGTACCTTCCTTGAAGTTGAAGTCTTCTTTCAAGTGTAGAAGAGAGATTTTGAAGAGCTGTCACTACCAAGTAAAAATGACTTGTGTTTTTCCAAAAGGGCCACAGATATTTTATTGGGCTGGGAGGGCTGACATAATGACTGTTATTCTGTATTTGTATTTGTGTACACATTTGTAATAGAGGGGTAGAGTTTGACCTGGACAGAGTTTAGGTATGTGAAATATTTAATTCCGAATCAAATGCTTTTATGAAACTTTTTGGATTTTGTAAAAGCATTTCAATTGTCTTAGAAATGTAAACATTTTCAAGGGGAGCCATTGGAGATACATTTATTTTATTGAGAGTTCTCATATTCTCAGGAAATTCTTCAAATGAGTTGGCTCCAGTCTGGATTTTTCTTTAATTAAAAACAAACTACGTTTGAGTTAGGACTCAGAAAAGATCTCCATATGAAAAAATGTTATAAATGGTTAATTTACAGATAAATTTCCAAGAACCTTTTCAATAACATTATACCTAAAATAAAGTATAATCATACTGCTTAAAATATGTTAGATATACCTCACTGGGCATTTCAGTGTTTTCCTAAGGTGGGAAGGAGCAGGAGAGATGGAGAGGGTTTTGTCAGATACCAGGAATGCATTCCTCTCTCTCAGCAGCCAACAGAAGACTTTTTATGTGGGTTGTCTCTGCACAGATGTTGTCAGTTAGGAAACTGAGACCATAGGTCAGGCAAATAGAATTGACTGAGCCGACAGCCCGTGGGGCAATTTCTTGTATTCTAAAACTGAGACTAGCCTGATCAAAATGATACCATCAATTTCAAAATAATCTTCTAGGGGTCAACTTGAAGGTTCATTATTTATGTAATATCCAACAACTTTTCTAGTGCTGTGGACTTGAAAAAATGAGGTACAAATCGAGACTAATACCAGTTGTTCTCAGGAGGTATCTATGAGGTTCTGGGGAAAAAAAATTAATACATTTGAGGACAGGAATGTCTACACAGCAAGTTTACTGTTGCCTCAAATCATGTATGCTGGCTTTAGTTGGAATAAAGAAACTACAGTAGACCCTCAATAGTTGACCATCTCCCTACCTTGTCCACTTCTTACAATGAAGTAATTTTCATGGAGCGGACATGCACCACCTGTACGTATCATACAGCTCCTTTATGTTGACCACCTCCATGTGTAGACCAGTTTGTTACAGTCCCTTGGGTGGTCAACTTACAGAGGTTCTACTCTAGGTTTACACTAAGTAAGGCCAGGTGCTATTATAATATCGTGTATTCTCGCTGAAGTTCTTTTAAAATTCTATTAGTATTTCTATTATCTGAATGCTGTCAGCCATCAATCATCCAGAATTTCCTTCCTGAACCTCCGTGCTAACGTTTAATGTCTACATCAAGGTCATCTTAGTAACTATCAAACTGTCATTCTCAGGGTATAACCTTCTACCTGCGGCCTGACATTGTTTTGTGGCCTTCTGATACTATTGCATATAATCTTTTATATGTATTGATCTCCCAAACTTTCAAAACCCCACATGGCTGATGAAAGTTGCCTTATTATTTTCTATTGCCTTATTATTTTTAAATAAACCATTTAAAAAATAATATGTACTGAAAAATTATTATCACTCTTATGAACACTCACTGAATCCAAGTGTAATTAAGACCAGAACTTAGAAGGAAGCAGACATTTTACCAGAAAACTGTTTTGGCCTTTTCTTATATGGAAGAATCAGTGGCATCCTATCCTTCGCTGTCCCCCTAGCAGCTGGCATTTGTTCCCTGAGATCAGAATCTTCGGCTAAATAAAAATTCAGAGGTATATTCACTTGTAAATAAAAGGTTAAGATCTATGAATAAAAAGGATGAGCCAAAAACACTAAGAGAAAAAGCTAATTTTCAAGATATGAATTATCAGTACATATAAATAGGGGGAAAAATGAGTGCTCATGTGATGGGGCTACAATCCTGTATCCACAATTCCAAAATTTCCAAGGCTCTGAAAACTGAAATACTTTTCACAAATTAAGCACAAAGTCAGTGCTTTGAACAAATGTAAGGCTATTTACTTCGTGAAATTATTCATATTTTTTGCTACAAAAATATTAATAACCTATTTTATCACAGAGTGCTAAACTATATTATCTTTTTAAAATTTGGAAAATTCTGAAATTTAAAACACATCTGGCCCCTAGGCTAAAGAAATTTGGGATGTAAGGAAGCATTTTCAGGGTCATATTTACAAGTAAGTAATTTTTTAAACAATGTTATCCAAGCTGCTGTGATCTGTTGCTTTTTTTTTTTTGAGACAGAGTCTCACTTTGTTGCCCTCTGTAGAGTGCTATTGCATCATAGCTCACAGCAACCTCAAACTCTTGGGCTTAAGTGATCCTCTTTCTTTGGCCTCTCGAATAGCTGGGGCTACCAGCACCCACCACGACGCCTGGCTATTTTTTTTAAAGACAAGGTCTCACTCTTGGTCAGGCTGATGTCAAAGTCCTGAGCTCAGATTATCCACCCGCCTCAGTCTCCCAAGAGTGCTAGGATTATTGGCATGAGCCACACCAACCGGTCTGATCTTTTGCATTTCAATGTTTAGTATATTTCACCAAATTGGAGGGGGAGGATCAAACATGTTACTTCTACCAGCCAAGAAAATTGATTAATAATATATATTTTGAGATATAATTTTATTTCAAAAGATGTATAAAAGAATTGGGTCTATTTCCGAAAATGCCCCCTGGATGTTGAAGACCCATGTGCTTTTCCAGGGCTAAGGTTCTCATTGTTCACTGAATGGGTTGAGACTATTAGCAGTCACTAATTTCAGACTAGTCAAGGTTAAAATAAAAGAGCATGTACTTGTGAGAATGAGATACGAGAAAGAGAAATGCTGACGGGTGGGGTGCTGAGTGCCGCCATGCGATTAAAGGGTGAGAAACAATTTCCTGGGACTTGTTATCCAAGATACATATCCGTCAAAAAAAAAGGTTATACAATTTTATTTGTATTAAGAATTATTGAAAATAAGTACAATATGTACATGTCGCTGAACAGAAGTTGAGCTTCTAAAAGTTGTTACATGAAGTGTGTACCTAAAACTATAATGAAACTGACATGTTTTTAAATGTTCGTACAATTGCAACCACAGATCAGTTGCTGTATTTCAGACGTGTCGTAGGTGTATATAAAACAGGATGTGAATAACATGGAAAGTGTTTAAACAACAGTGTGAATTTCACATAGGTTTACACATAGAAAAAGAATAGAAAAATACATGTATAAAATTGCAAGGAGTCTCTGTCTGGAATGCTGAGGCCGCCCAGGCAGCTGGTGGAGGTTCAGAGGAAAGTGCATTTGTTCCAAAGGCATTCGTCGGAATGTCGCAAAGTGAATGTCTGACTAACTAAATTAGATGTATGTGAAGATCTGTGTCTTGAAGCTTTTTTGCAGGGTAGGGCAAGACTTTTCACCAGGAATTGCTTCGAAATTGATTTGCATAAAGTGTCCTAGTGCTAGAAATCACTTTCAAAATGGTAACTATCAATACAAAGAAATTGCAACACCAGATATTAAATACCTTTTGAGTCAAATTCCAAAATGTTTTACTCCATGCAGAGTTTTACTGTGCTTTGAAATAGATTTCTGTGACTTTATTGATAAGCACGAATACAGAAAAACAAAACGTTAATGGGGCAAGAGATGCAATTTTATTTTGAGTTTTTAAAAAATTTGCATCCCTCCATCCTAAAGCAAGTTCTCTTCTGGCGAAGTTTAATATCCATTTTATTTTCATACATAGCACAAGCAAAACAAAATATTTCCTGTGACTACTGATATCGTCTTTGAAATCTCAATCAGCTAACTGATAACATACTGAACAAACCCCAGGTCTGAGGGAAGTGCAGTACAGCCTTTTCTATAAAATTACAACCTTGCTTTAAATTCAGAATGTGCAATCCTGGGATGCCAAGTGTTAACACTGAAATCCAAAGAACTCTGCATTTAATATGTTTTGCTACCCAAATGGGATGCCGTTCATCTTTTACCTCTGTCTTTTCTAAGTTCTCAGAGTCATGTAAGCCCCAAAAGAGTAACAGGAAATAATTTAAGCGTGAAAATTATCTTGGCTTTTAATAAATCAAAAGCAAGTCTGTGAGGTTAATGTCAAAATTTGTCACTATTGCTACTGCACTTGAAAAACAGAAACTGCCAAGATGTATAAATAAGCTGGCCTGAATCTCAATGTCCTTTCTGTGATAGGATAAAAAGGAACCTGCTCTAACATGTGACCCTAGTGCCCACATTGTTTTAAATCCCTCCAGAGCTAATAATCGCGTGTTGCAGGCAAGGTTAGTTTTGGCAAAAGAACAAAGCCTGTTTGCTTAGTTTTTTGAAAGTCTTTCACTGAACTTGAAATAAGAGAAAAATCAAGTTGAAAAAAAGAAGTTGAAGAGATGAGTCCAAAACAAACATGCAAATTGGCAGGTCAGCGGTGAGCATCCCTGCCCGTGGAAAGTGCTTCTGTAGAGCTCTCTGCAGCAATCTCTTCACAGTCGAGAAGGCCATTTTCTTTGAGTGTAGCTGGCAAAACCTCTGGCCATCTTTGTAGTTAATCCAGGAGAAAGGTCTGTATATATATTTGTCTTTGGATCCATTCGACGAAGTAGGACACGTTGCTATAAACACCAGGCCCCAAGACTTTGGAAAAGCAGACGGAGCCCCATGAGGTTAAACCAAACAGAGTCCACTGTCCCGCAGGACGCTCACAAACCAGAGGCCCACCGCTGTCCCCCTGTAACAGAGAGCAAAAGATCAGTCCCTGGGATTTCAGGCTTCTAACAGCAGCCTGGCTACCCTGAAGATAGATTGAAGCCAAACTCGTTTAACAAACGGAAAATTCCATCAAGGCTTTCCTTGTCAGCTTGGGGAGGCACCGTGGTTTTCACTGAATAGATGGAAACATAGAGGAACATAGAGGAATAGAGAAACATCTTAAACTCATCCTTAGAAGGACAGAGAGTGGCATGGGAAGGGATTATATTCTCTCCATGAAATTAGAAGACATTTTTTTAGTCATTTACTGCATTTGTCAAAATACATCATAATTTTTTTAAAGTATCAGAACTTATCATCTCCTAGTTGACCTCATTCTTTAAGTTTGATTAAGCTGTAAAAAGTACCTAAAGTGGAACAAAGATTTTTTTTTCTCCTCACAAACAATACAACAAAAACATCCTAAATACTTCTCTATTCTCCAGATTCTTGCTATGTGAATGAATATTTTAAGTGTAACATTCCCTCACTGTACTTAGGAGTTTTTTATTTGGTGTATTTGAATACAAAATACCAGTTAAAAATGACTTACCATAAAGAATTTCATTTATTTATAGCCTACAATTTATTTCATATCCAAAACTATTTCATCCTCAATACTTAGGTTTAGGTATTCCCACTGAGTTTTATGCAGCTTTTTCCCCCAAATATAGTTAACAATAAAACACCGTGGCATTACAGACAATAATATTTGCTGTATCTGAAAAGATCAGGGTAGATAAGAGCTTTCTGCACTGCTCCAGAAGAGAGGGGTTGGTGCCATAAAACATAAGAAACTAAGTATGTAAATTCATGTGGAAAATTACAAACACTTCTTGCCCTATAAAATGTTCACACTTGGAAGCATAACTCTGGTCTCCCTACTTGGCGATGTTGAATAATACTAGGAGCAGGGCAGCGCCTGTGGCTCAGTGAGTAGGGCGCTGGCCCCATACACCAAGGGTGGTGGGTTCAAACCCAGCCCCAGCCAAACTGCAACCAAAAAAAAACAGCCGGGCATTGTGGTGAGTGCCTGTAGTCCCAGCTACTTGGGAAGCTGAGGCAAGAGAATCGCCTAAGCCCAGGAGTTGAAGGTTGTTGCTATGAGCTATGATGCCACGGCACTCTACCGAGGGTGATAAAGTGAGACTCTGTCTCTAAAAAATATATATATTAGGAACAATATTTAGTGATGCTCTTCTAAACACTTTCCTTGGATTAGATCATTTATTCTTTACAAAATGCCTAAGAATCGGTATTATTCATTACTATTATATCCACTTTGGAGATAACGAAATGGAACCACAGGTCCACCTGTTCATTGGCAAAGCCGGGGTTTCAAGTGAGGCAGCTGGGAACAGCACTGCACCTCTGGAGCTTCAAAGCTCCCCTGCATCTTAAGAATTGTGCTGCAAAAGCAAAATTGACTTTCTGTTGTGCCGTCTGCATTTATGGACGTGGTGATCTTTAAATCCATCACTTTCCAAAAATAATAAGCATAGAACTTACAAGGAGCTAAACAAACTTTTTTGCCCAAAAGCCTAACTGAATTTTTTAAGAAGTAAAATGTCCTGGAAACATTTCTATGAGACATATTTAACAATTTTTTAACTCCCCTTAAATACTACGATGCTCAATTATTTAGGTTGAACTATTTATTGTGCCAGAGAGTGGTTAACATGGGACATGTTTAGATGTCATCACCTCTGCTCCTCCAGATCAGAAATTTAGTCAAATAATTATTTAGCACCTAGTCTTTGCAAAGTTCTGTGCTGGGGAAGAAGAAAGCACTATTTCTTGTCCCAGAGCAGCCAAAAGTCTCCATGCGTAGCAAAAAAAAACTTTACATGAAAGCAAAATCTAAGGACAATAAGAGGAGTTCCAAGGAGTGAGTGAGGACTTCCCAGCAGAGAGGAATGAAAACGCCGTCCTGAGATGTGGGTTTTGAACGGGGCTCAGAGTGGGGCAGGTGTTCCATTAGGTAGAAAAGAAAGGGGAAGAACAAGCAGTTCAAAGTGAAGGAGAGAATGCAGCTAAGGGCACAAATTGTCTGCACTGTCTTTTCCTCTTTGTGACGCTGGGCTTTAAACCAAAGTTCACCTCTGACCTCAGTGTTGACCCACGTGATGTATAGACTGCCTCAGAGGGACCTGGGGCTTCCACTGTGTCCTGTCGTGCAATTAAGAAAGATAATGTATGTTGTGCAAAAGAGGTGTGAGTATAATTACTTGCTCTAGATTTAGAAAAAACCAGCTTTTGTTTGGTATTTTGTTTTCTGCTGGTTGTGTTGGAGAATATCTGGTATGCATTTTAAGATACCCGCAGCGCTGAATTCCCATGACTAAAGCAGTTGGCATCACCTGGGTCCTACTAAACGTCATGACAGAAACCTGCCAGTCCCTGTGTCTCTAATTGGGCCTCTAGTTTCTTTGCAAAGAATCCCTGCCTTTCTCCCCTTTAGCAGTGACCGAGAGATGATCTTAAACGTGTGCCAAGAGGTGCTAGTCTGGGAAACCTCTAAGTCATGTCGAGGAAAGGGAGAAACGTATTTCCATTAATTACTGCAGCCAGTGTAGGGAGTGACGGAGCACTAGGACCCTGAAGCCAGGCTGCCTGGTTTCACATCCTCACACTAACATACTTCGCGCTGGGTGATCTGGGGCAAATGACTTCTGTCATATTCTATTTAGGGAAACAATGGCACTGCCACGTGGAGTGATGCTCACAATTAAATGAGCATCAGAAAACCTTCTGCAGAGAGCCTGGAAGGCAATCAGCCCTAAAGGGAGAGACGTTAATGTAATTACAGTTTAGTGAATGTCTAAGTATGACCAGACATCTCATAGAGAGAGAGGAAAGATAGGGACTTTCACAGGCATTATTAATTCAGTTAATCCTCAAAATACCCTGTGAACGAAACAGAATTAGCCCCATTTTACTCAAGAGAAAACTGTCTAGTGAGGTTAAATAGCGTCCCCATCCCTGGGTGACACTGTCCTTACGGGCAGAGATCTTTGAGGCGACAAATCTTGCTCCATGCCCCACTTTGTGGCTCCCCAAAACACTTTTTTTGGCTTGGGGAATCAAACCTGGGTTCTTGTATAGAAGGGAAGGATTCCTCTCCCACTGCCTGCCTCAGCTGGATGACTTGCGGCCAAGAGGCAGAATGGAGGGTGGCCTCGGAGAAACTCCAAGGGAAGCGTCTGCTCCAGCCTGTTTCCTACGACAACCACCTAAGGAATCGCCACTGGGATGTTTCTAGTCCCCTGACTTTTCCATTCAAACATGGACCACCAAAAGTGTCCTTCACTGATGCTGAGTTAGCAGTACTAGTATCACTGTGTCTCTCCCTCTCTCACTAAACTGTGGGAGGAGCAAGTGAGTCTACTCCAAAGTAGTAAAATAACAAAGATACTCCATAGCAGTGCAGTCTAAAAACTGTCTTCTCCACTTCATTTTATTAAGCACTCGCAAATGTTCATCCTTTCCTGGGAGCCAGTCCAGTAAAATATTCAATAAATATGTACTCAGTAAAAATAAAAATGCATCTTTCCTGCACTGCGAAGTTAGTCTGCTTTGAAAGTTGCCATGGCCATGAGTAGCTAAGGGCTGTGTCCAGTGACCTCTGATGGCCCAAACAATGCCCGTGTGCTCACCCCTGAGACACAGGGAGTCCTCTAACACACCCTTGAACTTGGGGGTGGAGGTAGTGAGGGCTTTAATGCCATCACTCTGGGGCTGATACTGTTCTTTGGAGCTCCCTCTCGGGGTTAGAGCCATGGTTACTCCGGGCTCCTGCTAGAACCTCATTTATCCCAGCCAAAAGCATGGTGGAATGAGACGGACAGAGACAACTGTTTTCCTCAGGTAACGTCCCCACACAATAAATAGATGTGAAGGCAGAAGGCAACGTGAATAAAGGGATAGAGGTGGTTAGGGGTTGCCTGTGTACTGGCTGAAGGAGAACACACTAGGAATAATCCAACGTTTGGCAACAAACAATTTTCGAAAACTGTTCCCAAAGGATCACACATGAATAATAAAGAGTTTATAGGGCCTCAGGGAAGGTCAAGGCTGCACTGAATCCTCTCGGGAACAAGAAAGCACGCACCATGCACGAGTCCACCGTGCCCGACTCGAAGCCAGCGCAGATCATCCGGGTGGTGATGGTCTTCATGTCGAAGTAGGACTGACACTGCTCCAGGGAGATGATGCGGACCTCGCCCTCCTGCAGCTTAAAAGGCACTGGAGT